TCAGTTTCCAAGGCATTCCTATGGGCCTCTGCTTTCAGGAGAAAGGCAATGAATGAAGGGTGTGGGAAACATATAAGGCAGACAGAAGCCCTTGGGGTTCACTGTGCTTGGATACGAATCTGTTGCAGTCGGAAGCATCAGCAGCCATCCTTATGCTGCTGCCAAAGCAATTAAGCCCACATACATCCTGGATATCCAAGACAAGCAAGGAGTCAGTGGACAGTCCTGGACTCACGTCAACATGTCCAAGGGATCCTTTTGTGGAAGAGCTCCACTGAAAAGAGACTAGCTTTTGGGAGATCCAAATCTTTCCCTGATAATTTCTCATTAGGTAGCTCACTTCACAGAGATCAGATGTACTTCCTCCCGATGGATCAGTCTGGGACAAGGTATTTGTCTGAAATAAAACCAGGGCTATTTTTGGACAGGAACGCACAGGAACGGAGTTCCGGCTGGCTCCCAAGTTGGCCACACCCAGCAGGAATTCATTAGCATAATAGGCTACACCCAACAGCAGAAACTCATTAGCATATTAGGCCGCCTCCCTGACAGCACAGCTCATTAGCACATTAGGTCGCACCCCCATGTTACCAGAAGTGTGGTCATCCAGCCACACCCACCTTTTGCTTCTTATTCTGTTTACCTTGTTTGTTGTCAAAAACACTTCTGGTAACATGGGAATGCGGCCTAATATGCTAATGAATGGTGCAGTCAGGGTGTGTGGCCTAATATGCTAATGAGTTCTGGCTGCTGGGTGTGGCCTATTATGCTAATGAGTTCCTGCTGGACTTTTTCTACAAAAAAAGCCCTGAATAAAACAATCAGAATTTGCTACAGTTTTTGTACTGTGATGCCATGGATGGCTGGGGATAAGGTATGCCCTAGTTTCTGAGGGATCCAGGCCCTCAGTTATAGGTGGATTTCTGTGGCCACTCCTTCTGGTAACTCTACCTCTGCAACAGTTTTTATGACTTTTGCTTTTGGCCCTAGCAAGGAATATGTGTCTGGAAAACAGTTGTTAGGCTGTGCACACCAATGCTCCTATCCTGTGTCTTTTGTATTCTTTCTGCCCCTTGCTGCCCTGGTACTAATTTTCATGGCATATGTATTTCCTCCTCCTCGAACTGCAGGCTTTATTTATTTACTCAGTTCTCACCATTCAAAATAATACTGCATTTGAACAGACTTACCCCAATGAATTAGATGCCGCATTCCAAAAATTCTACAGTAAAAGGAAGGGATGGGGCACTTGAAGTGGGATTATGAATCTGATCATTCGGAACTGTCAAATTTGTACTACAGAAAACAGACAAATTAATTAGCAGTGCAGTTCTATGCAGTTTTGCTGCAGTTTAAGTACATAGGCTGGAATAACTACATGTGACATAGTAGTAAAAATGGCCCCCTTTCCTTACTCATTGTTTAAATTACACACAGGAATAAAGGCCAGAGGTAGGAAAAGGGCAGCTCCTCGGTAGTGCCTAATGGAATGTTTAACATTGCTTCAGGGTAGGTCCAATGGCTCAGATTCAGCGGGTTGTATCCAAAGCTTCATGAACAGATTTCTGTTCCCACAATGGGCTTTTCTTATTTTCTCCTCCCCACTACAGCCACTGTGTTCTCCTTCTGTGCATGGAAGGGTCATCGTGGGATAAAATAATGTTGTCTACCTTAAACTTGCCAAAAGACATAATAATGAGTCTACCTACCAATGAGGTGTATAAATACCTCTTGCCCGTTTCTCCCTCCCCCCATCTATTTCTCATGCTTGTGTGACTGTTGAATCTAAGATTATCTGGGTTCTTTCAGATTTCGATTCTGATGTTACTTTTCAAGTGGCATGGTTTTTTGCAACTTTGTTTTAATAATGTAAGTTTGGTTGCTCTGTTTCAGCCCCTGTAACTTGACTTTAGAAGGAAGGAAAGAAAAGTGCATGGAAAGGGTTTTTGCTTGCAGAAGACCTTTGGATATATTTTTTCAAAAGAGTACAGTAATTAAAGAGAGGGTCAGGGCAACAGCTGAGCATGAAAAGATTTACCTTTTTGCCCAGACTAACAGCAGGAAGGATTGCACCTTTAAAATGAGATACAAGCTTTTACACAAGAAAACACAAAAGCAAGGGGTGACATTAACAAAACAAGGGGTGACATTACATAACACTGCTTCATCTTTTTAAAGCAATTACTGGTAGTTTGCTTACACCACCAAAAGTTAGTTTGAATGAATCCTTTGAGGAAGGAGAACTGAGGTTGTTGTCTAGTTCTGCTAAACCAGATGGAAAAGGATTTTGCAGAAGGAGGCCAGAGGAAGGAGATTTTTCTTAAGAGCTGAAAATGGTCTGCCAGAGGCATTGCTTCCCAAGGTGTCCACACATTCTTGTCTCATACTACTGGCCCTGTCAAATAGGTTTGCCAGACCTCAGAAAAGACATAATAAAGGGAGAACTACAAGTTACATTATTGTTCTTCTATAGTACAACAACAGAAGCTATGTTTTAAAGGGCAATACCAGCATGTGGGGAGAGAGCCTATTTATTTATGCTGAAAATCACCTCCCCCTAGCTGCTTTTACTCCCACTGGGGAAAATTTCCCTATACATTTTCCTTGGTGGGAGGAAAAGCAACTCAAGAGTGAAGAGCATACAGCAGGAAAATAGCCCAAGGGAGAACAGTTAAATAACCCCTCATTGCCCACCAAAGTCTCCCCCTTTAAACTGCAGCCCCTTTGGCTGTGTTGTTGTTTTTAATCTGGAGATATGATAATATAAAGGTAAAGGTTCCCTTGCTCGAAAGCCAGTCGAATCCGACTCCAGGGTTGCGGTGCTCATCTCCGTTTCAAAGCCGAAGAGCCAGCGCTGTCCGAAGACGCTTCCGTGGTCATGTGGCCGGCATGACTAAACACCAAGGCACACGGAATGCTGTTACCTTCCCACCGAAGTGGTACCTATTTATCTAATTGCAATTTCTTGCTTTCGAACTGCTAGGTTGGCAGGAGCTGGAACTAGAGACGGGAGCTCACTCCGTCATGCGGCAACTCGGGTCTTGAACTGCTGAACTATTGACCTTCCACAGCCTGCAGTTCAGCATCTTAACCACTTGAGCCACCGCAGCTCCTAGTATGATAATATAAATACATATAATTTAGAGTTTCACCCAAATAACCTTGTGGTACCATAACAAATTTATTGTGCCAGAAACTTTTATGAGTTTAAACCCACTTCATCAGCTGCACGAGGTGTTAACATTCATTTGCCGGAATCTCTCTCCCCCTCCCTCGCCCCTCCCTTCCTCCCCATACATGGGTTCCAAAAAGAAGGGCAGGGAGGGGAATCCAAGAGGCAGGGGTGTTACATTATTTTGTTTACAGATGTAAACAAGATTCTTCTATTCATGCCTGTGTCTGTGTATGATGCCAACTAACACTTCATGCATCCAATGAAATGGGCTGTGCCTCCTGAAAGCTAACACCACAACAAATGTGTCAGCCTTTAAGATGGCACAAGACTCTTTTGGCTACAGCAGACTAACACAGCTTCTCCTCTGGAATCTGAAACATTATAAAAAATTTCCAAACCTGATTGCCAGGGTCATGAACGGGATGAGTGTACACATCACAAACAACAATCCCTCTTTCAAACTGCCCTCTTCTGCTGGGGAGTGGGGAGGGAATGATTTGTCTTCAGCTGGAAGTGGTTTATGACAGAGGATGACGCACATGTACCACAGAAACATGGAGGAACCCCCTTAATGACAGAAAAGCACAGTCCGTATCACGATCCTTTTGATCCCTGGAGGGTTTTGACTTTTTGACGCCTAATACCGGGAGAAGGTTGTACTCTGGCAGCTGAAGAAAGAAGGCCATGGCCCTGAGAAGGATCACCAGCCAGTAACCTGTTCTGCAGGGTGGGAGGGGGAAACCCTGTGCCCGAGTGGGAGGCAGGCTGAATGCCTTACAGTAAGAGCTGATTGCAGCCGTCGCAGCAGCAGCAGCCATGAACTTTCCCAGAACCCCGTGCCAAAGACTGAGCCTCTGTTAGCAGAATGCGAGGTCAGAAGGGCTCCGGCGCCTCATTCCACCCCCATTGCTCTCGCAAAGGATGCCCAAGAATGGACAATGGGAACAGCAAATACTGGGGTCACAGCGCTTTAGCAAAAGGAGGCCCTTCTGGGAGTAATATCGCTTGAGTGTCTGCATCTTGCCCCGACAGCGGTGGAGAGCTGGGCCGGAGTGTGTGTGTGTGTGTGTGAGAGAGAAACGGGTTGAACTGCGTCCGCTCGCCACCATCTCATGCTCGCTGGCTCTTTTCGTGTAACGGATCTGTCCCAAATTAATCCAAGGAGCCGGAAGAGCCCCTCAGGTACCCTGGCTTTCCCCCCCGTCATGCTGTCTAATTACGCAATACCTTCTCCCCATCAGCAGGACACCTCTTCTCCCTTCCACAGGCTTAATAGTTTGTGCGTATGGGGTGTGTGTGTGACCTTGCGAAGGCATTTCTGCGTGGGCTGTGGCCACGCAACGCGTACGTAGACGGGTGTCCTTTTGCAAGAACAGTCGACGAGGATTAGTTCCCCGATTAATTTTATACACCCTTCTGAAGACCGTTGCAGTTCCCAGACCCCGTGCACAGCTGAGCCAGCAAAGGGCCGGCAAATCCCTCCGCTCCGACAGTGGCGGGAGAGTCGCGGGCGAGCAAGGCAGCGTCTCGTGTGCACTTGACTCGCGGCCAAGAGAGAGACGGGCGTTTGTCTGCCCCACTTGTGGCTTTGTCCACGTGGAGCCGCACAGCGGGATCGTGGCCAGCAGTCGCCTGAGGATCCGAAGTCCAGGCCGCGTGGCTTGGCTTTGAAGCGGCGAGCCCTCTTCCTCTCCCCTGCGCTCCGCTCCTGCCTTTCCCCTCTGCTGGCTCTGGGCGTGGGCCTGCCCCCTCCCCTCGCTCGGCCCCACCCGGGACTCCTCAGCGCCTGAAGCCTCCGGGAGCCACTTCGGAGCCAGCTCCACCCCTTTGGTTGAGTCGCCGGCGCTGCGGGCTGGAGAGCGCGCGCGACAGAAGAAGAAGAAGAAGAGGGGTCGTCGGGAGGGTGAAGGGCTCCAGGGGCAGGGCTAGCCGGCTACGGGCGAAAGGCGCTAGCACCGCGGACCTGACACTCGGCGGCGGTCTGCGGGGATCCGGAGCGGAGCGGGATCTGTACCCTTGCCCGTAGACAGAGGCAGCGGGACGCCAGAGAGGCGCTCCTCGAAGAGGATCCGGCTACCAGCGTCCCCCCTTGGGCAGCGGCACGAAGAGAGAAAGGGATCGTCGCCCGAGCTGGAGAAGCAGGTGAGCTTCGGCTCCTTCTGCACCCTCTGTTTAGTGGAGGGACGTCCGACTAGACGGCCTGTTGCAAGCCAACCGCCGGGAGGGAGAGTCACGCCAGACTCGGCACCGGAGGCGGGTTTAAGTTCTCCTTTGTTGTGTTGCGACAGTATAAGATGTGTTCCTCTACTAGGGCTCTAAACTGCGGAGAGGGGGGCGGGATTAGCCACTTGGGACTGGGGTTTCCACATGTTGCTGGCCTGGAAATACTGAGACATCCAAACCGCCCCCACCCTAACCCTGTAATGAACGTGGAACAACTTTGGTCCTGAGCCTGGCTTTCATCTTCACTTCAAATTAGCAAACCCACACCATCCAGTTTAGATTGAAAATGACAGGCAAAAGGCACACTCTAATCACCTTGATTGGGTGAATAGAGGACCGGTGAAAATGTGTAGAGTAGACATACTAGTTTGCTTTAACAAAACCGGAGAGTGCTCCCTGAGCAACTTTCTAAGGAATATCTGGTGCCAGGATGAGAGTTTTGTGTGGAAGGATTATGGGCGATTTTACCCCCCCTCCCCCCAAAAGCAAGCTGGGCAATACTTTTTTGAAGATGGACCAAAATAACACAACAACAGTGTGCAGGCTTTAGAATTTTTTTTATCAGGCTGGATGTTGGGAGTGGGGTGGGTGAACAGATAAAAAAGATTTTTTATATCATGATCTATAGATTCATAAACTGGAAGGAACTTCCCGATTGGATGGAAGCACCTTCACACCCACAAACCAAGCATTCCCAGTGTTGTATTTAAGGTGTGAAAAAGCTGGAATAGAAATTAGGATTCCTAGGTTCCAATAGCACCAGAAGGGAAACAAAGAATGTCTTGAAGGTGAAAGGAGGCATTAGAAATCCACATTCCCCAGTTCATTTATTGCTTTTGGCAGGGCGGTTGCTTCTAATGTTTAATAATGTGGATGTGGAAATTGGAATGGTGTGTTTTTGCCCAGGTTGAGAAGAGAGAGTGGGTCTAGCGTGGCTAGCAAAAGAGAGGATGCACCACATTTCCTAGGCTTGGCAGGGGGAGGGGTGGGTCTCCTCTTGCAGGTGACTCACCAGCCCTCAGCTATCATCAGGTGCACAAGAGAGCAGCCTCCAGTCAGGGGTTCTAATTGCACCCATCCCATAGACATTTGTTAGAAGAGTCAAAACGGCAGTATATTCCTCAGATCAGGATTTCTCCCACAATATCCAGCCCAGATATAAAGAGGCTAGGTCCATGCTGGATGAGAACATATAATTTGGGGATGGGGCGGGGGAGGGGTGTTGAAGGCTTAGAGTCCGCTTCTTTCCTTTCCTTTTGTCAACTCTGCCTTTAATTTTCTGCACCATTGAATGGAACAGGGTTGGAAAAGGAGTGTGCATGATTTAAAAGAGTTTTAATGTGCATCACTGCTGGGTCAAAATGAACTCTTATAGTTGCTGTATAGCTTTGCTGTCTGATTAGGGCAGGGAATTATTAAACTACTGATGCCAAATCCACAGTTTAAAACCATTTAAATGTATAGTTCACCCCACCCTAATATTCTGATACTTGAAAAAAAGCATTTTTATAAAACTTCATGTGCCTGTGTGGATGACAAGATATCGTGTTAAAATAATTGAGGACAAGGAATATGTTGGGAGACAGACAATAGTACATTTCAGAGATTAAGGTGATTTGGAAGTGAAAATGCTGCATGTGATATATTCACGCATCTTTCTGTCTGCTAGTTAACGAGGCTTTCAAGGTCGTGTATTCTTTCAGATGCCTGCAAAACTATCAGGCCTGAAATACAGAAGAGACAGTGTGATGAAAGAAATAGGAGGTCACATCATGGAAAGGGATGCCTCCTTGAACCGCTTTTATCTCTCTTCAAAACAAGTGTTTGTCTCAGTTCTCAGATGTTGCAGGAAACTTGTCTGGTACAACCGAACACCTTCAAAATGTCCTACTTCCATGCTGGGAAAACCTCTAGCCACTAAGGAACTGGGGCTGTTTCATTATATTAGCTCACTGCATGTGGATTGGCATCCCTTGCCTGGTTTGTCTCTGTGATGATTGTAAGCAACCAAGTTGATATAAATTTGAGGTGGAAGCCAGTCCATGTCTTGAACTGATACATACAAAGTTGATCTACACAGGGGGACAGGCTGAAGCAGCCTCCATGGGATAAATGGCTTTGTTAGCCAATCTCTGGCAGCCAGTAAAATGTCTCCCCCCCCCCAATGCCTCAATGAACTAAACTACTCCCCATGTTTTTGGAAGGAGAATAATGAGACTCTCAGCCTGTGTAATGGGCGGGCAGCTGCGTGACGAGGAGACTCACACATGCATGCAATGTGGCTGAGAGGGAATATATTTCCCTGGACCTGAAAATGTGAGAATTTAAGTGCTGGATTACATCTGGCAATAAGAGGGTGGGTTTTTTTGGTGGCTTTTTAGGGTTAAATCCTCACATTTGAATTTCAACTCAGTTAATCAGACTGAACTTGGGTCTGGCATGCCTGCAGCATCAGGATTTCATTTTGCATCAGCAAACGCCAGTGAAGCACGTGCCCTTATGCCTAATATGGGCAAGTTCTTTGGTCCACAGAGTTTCTTTAATTACACAGAACATTGCATAACAGAAGCAGAGCCAGTGTTGCATAGTTTGTTCCACTTCAAGATTTGCTCTAGAGGCATCTTTTACTTACTTGCTCTGTCGCCCTCCCTCTCTGTAGAGGGGATGGAGGCTGAGTAGGCAAAGAGTGTTGTCGTACCAGCTGAATTCTGTTCAGCTTGTCACCCAGGCCATGTACAGTAATAAACATTTACAGGCTTGCAATGTTTTTTCTCTGGCTTCATTCCTCAGCAGTCCCCCAGCTTTTGAGTCTTTTATTTAAAGGAACAGTGTGCATATTTTTGAGCTGCTAGAGAGAAAATGTATGTGGCCCGTATTGTTAATGAAGATGTGAAAAGTAGCATAATTTCAAAACATACAGGTTGTGGCATCTGGAATGGTTTACTTTAAAAACAGGTGGCTGTGAGGCTGTGCCTAATGCCACGGCACTGGATTTCTCAATAGCTCAGCAGAAGACCAGTCAATTATACAAAACTTTGAAGTCTTCAGAATTTTGCTCTGCTTGAAAACAAAGTCCTGCTTGTTGGTCTGCCTCTAAGCTTTCTACCATGTATAAAGAAGGTATTTTCAGGATCTCAGAAATACTACAGGAAAGGCAAATTATAATGTAACTTGTTTTGGGGGATGACGTAGCTCTTGAAAAAGTGCTGGCCATGGGGTTCATTAGTCATGACTGTGTGGCTTATTTTTGGCACAGAAAAGGGTAGCTGTAACTTTGCGGGGAGGGGGTCAGCAAATATAAAGACATCAACTGCAATACAGTGCCTCTCACCCAGACAAATGAAGTAGCTAGTTATCTCTGATGTGGCACTGTGGAAGCTGTGGTGCCCGTTGGATGTGTTTCCTGGCTACTGCTGGATTCTTAGATTTTAGGTCTTGCGTGGAATAGAAGAAAAGGGACTTTCCAGTTGTTCCCTACCAGCAGAATGGCTAGCAAAGTGCTGAGAACCTCTCATGCTCTTGCATTGCAGCCATATGCCCTCAACTTGGCCACAGACGCAGCCTTTCTATTTATCTGGGCTTGGCAACTTCTCTTTGAAGCCATACAGGGTGCAACACAAAGCGAAGAGCGTATTTCCCCAAAAGCCAGAAGTTGATCCCAGGTGCAGGGGGTGCTTCTAAAGATCCCAGGAGGCTGCAAATGCCTATCAGGAAGCAGCTAGCTCTGTCAAAGAAGGACCCTTGGTCTGGATACTGCCAACTTTCTGTGGACATCCTAACATTTGGGGACCATGCCTCACTCCCCTGTGGCAGCAGTTTTGTGGTGGCGTCCACTGCCATTTTTCAAAATTCCAACTGTGCCTGCATGCTTAATGTAGTCAGATGGAGACTCCAGCCCAAATCTAGCAAGTGCGAAGGAAACATAACATCCCTCAGTTACTGGAATCTGTGGGATCATTCTATTGCCCTGCGGGCCTGTATGAATATGTCACAGTTCCATCCTTTAGGGGGCAATGATGGGCCTCAGAAACCACTGCCATTATAACAATGTGGATCCATTAGAAAAAATCCAGATACAACTGCAGTGCAATATTGGGATCAACTACTTGAAAGCTTTTTCTACTTTCTAAGATTCTGGCTTCTCCTAATAAAAGTTAACTTACTACTCTTGATAGATTCAGGTGAGTAGTTGTGTTGGCCTGAAGCAACAGAACAAAGTTTGAGTCCAGTGGCACCTTTAAGACCAATAAAGTTTAATTAAACTTAAATTAAACTTAATTAAACTTTGTTGGTTTTAAAGGTGCCACTGGACTCAAACTTTACACTACTGTTGCTTTTGGATGCCTCTAGAGGGCAGTGATGGACATCATATATTCCCTCAATCTGGAGCATAATTGTGGTTGTGTGGAACAAAGCTGGGGAAGGAGTAGGCAGCAGTGTGGTAGGCACTCTGAGTCATTACTATCAGCTGGGGAAGGAGTAGGCAGCAGTAAGTGTGGTAGGCACTCTGAGTCATTACTATTATTGTGCCTGATTTCTGTCAAACACTTCCATTCCTAGTTGCAACATTAGGTATTATGCAATCGGAAAAGGATCCCTGTTGCAGCCCCAGTATAAAATCTCTGTCAAGACAATGTCAGGATAAGAGGCCAGGGTTTCACCACATTTTGTATCACTGAAGCAGCCTGGCTTTCCAAATTCAGTGTCAGACCTCTTGTTAGGGAGCCAAATATTGTGTCTCTGTTTGTATGTGTAGGTTTGTACTGGCAGTAATTGCGCCTGTCTCACAGGCAGAAGTGACGGCCAAGGCACTGACACAGCCAGACAGGACTTTTTACTCTGCCCAGCCATATATTCAGGGACAAACCAAACATGATTGGGACCTGGCTGCTATATGTATTAGTTCACATTTCTTCCTG